AACAAACATGTTTTGATGTTCCTTCCAAACCTCCCTATTGGTTCTTTCATGTTATGGATGGCCTCATTTACCAACAGGGAGGCTCTGGAGCTGGAAGCATCATTTTATTTCTGTCTTTGTTGCTCTAAGAAATTTTCCCCTCATTTCCTGTTTGGTTAAACTTGTGTCATAAGGACAGGAAGTGAGGGAAAACCTCTTTAACGAAGCCCTGGATAGCAGTAAAAACTTGAGAGGTGTTCTAATCCTTTCACATTCCACCTAAAACTAGAAAGAAATGTTTTGGCTAGACCTACACTTTAATTTCATGACTCTTGGCAGGTAGTTTTGTAAATGATGGTTGAAAGCCAAATAATTACTGTAAAGCTCTCCTGGGTGTGTGAACTCATTGTCTGAACTTACATTCTGCAGGTGAATTTTGTGATCTTCATAAGAGTCATCTGTATCATCATCTCTAAGCTGCAGGCCAATCTGATGTGCAGGACGGACACCAAGTGCAGGTGGGTCTCTGACAATTGACATCAATGATCCCTGTCATGACTCTAATCCGAAGCTTACATTGATAGCTTCAGGTCCAACAACTGCTTTATTGTTTCATTTTACTCATCAATCTCTGCACCAGAGTAGCTTACATTCTAACATCCTACTACAGTCACCCACTGTTATTATTCCTATACAAGTATATAGCTTTGACATATAGTGCAGGGCTGTACAGAGAACACTGAGCCAGTCACATCGGACTCTATATCCGAGGAGCTTACGCTATATTGTCCTCTACAAATTCTGACCTACCACTATGTTCGTAGTCAGAACCGGCAATACAGGCATAAATAGAACGTACAAATTCATGCAGACACGGTGCTTGTTAGGAACTGAACCCAGGACTCCAGGTTTAACATACAAGTGGGTCTGGAGCAAAGACCTTTGTGGCATTGAAAGACTTTAAAGACAGACTTCATATAGTTTTATGGGAAGCAAAGCATGACATAAATGTATAATGAGAGGCTATGCACTAAACCTGGCCTACACTGGTTGAATTTCATGCAAGTCCTGCTGACTCCTGCCCTCAGGGCTGAATGAGTAAAAACAGTGTATGGCTAGCTTGACCTTTCTGGAATCCCGAGTCTTCAAGCTTCACCACTTTTCTGATCCCCGGCCTACAGGCATACAACCCAGAAGGAACCACAGTGGGGGAAACAGGTATTTGACACACTTGGAAGCATTGAATACCTTTAATGGCCAGCAATCAGCTGACTGAAGGGGTTTAAAGGTTCTGGCTGCTGTAAAGTGCATGTACAGCCGCTTTCTTGGGGCACCTGGGGGGGCAGCAGGTATGCCTCCCACCCCCTGTCCAACTCCCTCACATCACTAGTTGCCAGGAGCTAAGCAGGACTCTCTGGCTAGGTGGGCCAGTAATGTCAGTGAGACGGATGGGACACTGGACAGAGACAGAGCGAGAGGTACCATGTACCACCAGCACCCCACCAATAAGATGCACTGCCAGCACCCCAAACCCCCCTTCCTACCTCCCCATAATGTGCAACAGCAGCACCCCCTAAACCCCCTCCCTGGCAACATGCACCCCCGTCCAGCTTCAGGCAGCAATAAGTGTAGGGACACCCCTGGCTAAACCTACCCAGGCACATGCAGTTGCCACTATCCTGGAGCCCTTGCTACAACAGCAGGGCTTCCAAATATAGGGGAGCATGTGACCTCCCCTAAGTGACAGTATTTGATTCTAAGCAGGCTGTCACAGGGCTCGAACACTGTAATGTGGGGGGTGCCATGACACTATCTACCTGGCTAAGCTTTAACACCAAAGTTTTGAAAGGCAAGGGTTTGCTACAGCAGAGAGGAAATGATTGAGCATGGATGGGTACATATACTTGCCTGGGTGGTGGGCTATGGGCAGACACATTCAAGGCAAAGTGACAGCATCTGTTTAAGCTGGAGCACTGCCTATGGACTACTTTTAATGAAATACATTGGATAATACTCACATATGGTGATATTGAACAGATGTTATCTGGTTCCATTACAGGGTTCCTTCCTATACTGATCACACTTTGGAATTAATTATTCATTTTGAATGTATAAAACATATGAGGAACAATTCTTCCTCCATGTGAATTCAATCAAATTCTGGTGTGATTGCTAAAGTGAATTATCATGTTTGATGAAATGAATTACTGTGGTTAGCTTTGAACCATGGATCGTTTTTGCAGATATTGAATTGGATTAATGTGATGAACTGTGAATCATGGATTGAATTTTATTGGCCTAATTTTGTTCTATATCATGTGACAATATATGTGACTCAGATAGCTACACATGGTCCCTGTGCTCGTGTTGTAACGGTGGGTGTGACAAGCTCCTTCCATTGTTCTGAGGTTGAAGGCTGAGTCCTGTGGATGTATTCATTTGTTGTAATTTATTGATAAATACATATTTTTGATCAAGTGGGATTTTCCACTGGATTAGAGTCATTTGTTTAGTATTCATAAAGCCGGGAAAGTAGTCAACCACAATGTTGTGGAGTTCAGTTGATTCTTAGCGTCCTTCTGGAGGGAAAAGCAGATGAAGACATTGGCAAGGGCAGGGTACTGTGATCTCTGTGAGAGCTAACAAATACCTGGAAGTGTTACACTGACACATTACTTAGCATGCACTTAACATGCACAAAGATATACAAGATATATATATATATATATATATTAGGGATGCACCAATACCGATACTATATCAGTAACGGTGCCGATACTGAGTATTTGGGTGAGTACTCATACTCGTCCAAATGCTCTGATACCTTTCCCGATTCTTGAGCTTCCGATCAGAGGGAGATTTCCTCTGACTGGCAGTGCCGCAAGGAAACCTGGAGCCGGGAAGCTGGCTCCATACTGTTTGGCCGGCTCCATGCTGATTGGCCGGGAAGACGACTTCCCAACCAATCAGTGTCGATCTGGGCAGACAAATCTGATAATATGGCGACACGACCTCCAACCTGCAGGCACCTCATTCCCCTCACACAGATCCTTAGCAGCAGTCATTAACGTACCAGTCCCTCGGCCAGCTGGGCAGACACCGCTCTCCAAGCTCTCCCGGATCTGCCCACGTCTCCTGTGTGTACAGTGCCCACGTGATCGGCCTTCCTGGCTTCCTGATTGTCCGGGAAGCCGGCTCTATGCTACCAGAAGTACTGGTATCAGTACTCGGTATCGATCAATACCGATCTATAAATATCAGTACACGTACTTGATACCGAAAAAACGGTATCGGTGCATCCCTAATATATATATATGTATATTGTATATAAAGCTAGGTCCACTTTAAGGGACACAGTACAAGGCAGGATAGATCTTTGGATCAATGCAGTGCACACTAAATTCTGACCCTCTATCTGCATGTTACAGATGGAAAGATAGGTCACCAGCGCTCCAAAATGCATTTCAGGGCAACACAGGGTCCCTTCCTCAAGGCAACATTCACCTTGAGGAAGGAACCCTGTGCAGCCCGAAACTTTGGCTGTTTTAACCTAAGTGATATTATTTGCAATAAGCCATATTTCTCTGCATTTTGGAGTGCTGGTGACCTATTTTCACATCTGTGAGGTTTTGCACAGCGCCATCTGTAGCAGTCCCTTCGAGCATCTACCTTATCTATACTGATCACAACGCTGTATGGTGTGCACCAGACACTTTCAACATTTAAAGACAAGACTCCTTAGACCAGGCAATGTTTTTTTCAATCTTTAGTCAGCCAATGTTGGTGATCCGATGTCCCCAGGAGCCTCATTTCCTGTTCTCAGCTGAGAGAAGAGACTGCTGTGTTTTCTTCCTCTTTGAGGTTCCCCATGTTGGGTGTTCGGAGATGGCCTTCTGCACAGCACTGCTATAAAGAACTGATATTGGATCAGTCTGAACTAGTCAGTCCATTCTCCTCTGACCACTCTCATTAACAAGGTGTTTTCCCAACAGAACGGCCTCTCCCTGGTGTTTTTTTGTTTTTTTTTGCACCATTTTTTGTAAATATTAAGGACTGTTGGGTGTGAAAACCCCAGGACATCAACGTTGTCTGAGATACAGTATCTGTCACCAATGATCACTCTATAGTCAAAGTCACTTAGACCGTTGTGATAGTTGGTCAAGCAACAACACAGCCTCTTAACCATGTCTGAATGTTTTATGTGTTGAGTTTTACCAACATGCAGAGCTGGATTATCCACAGGCCTTCCTAGACAGGAGCATATGGCCCACTGGATGTCCAGGGGGCCCAGGTAAAACATTCATACTCCTGAAGTAAACCAGAGGGATAGTACAATTGGTCAAAGCAGTGCACCTGGCTTGTCACTCAACAAGGCAGTTGGTGTCTGATGGGACCAGTACAGCCAATGCAATGGTGCCTGTTAATTGAAGAGATGTGGGGAAGACAAAGATGCTCCCTCGCCCCATTCTGCCTTAATCTGTCTTTGCACTTTGGCTCTCATAAAAGAGCCAGTAGACTGAGTAGTCTACAGTCTTGTATTAGTGATTATATTGGATTCTTATGGCATACTATTTCATTGTGGTAATGTGATAGTATGAATGGACCCTAAGAACCCCATATAACCAGTTAGCGTGATCTGGTGCCATCTACTGTCAATAGGATTCCTATTTACCTTGCCAATAGAAATGTATTGCCACTGCCAGAAATGGTGCATGCAACATTGTTTGAGCATTGGCAGCTCATTCATTTTGAATGGCCCACCTTAACCCAATGCACGTTGATGCACAGAATGGTGTGAATGGGCCCACTCATGTGCTGGAGTCCCACTAGGATGTCAGAAGCATAGAGTAGTTTTGGATCTCTTTATAAGGATGTATAACCCTATGTCCATATACACATTTTATATGTGTTCCCAACCTGAGCGTGATGGTTTGCAGATGACTAGATCTAGCTAGAAATACTTCATTAAAGATAAGCAACGTCGCCCTGATCTAAGTCTTTTCAGAAGTCTTGTTGTAATTTAACTTTCCTGATTGCAAATGTCCTGAGCTTTGTTAATTTCACACTTAATCAGTACAAACTGAAAATAGCAATGGTGAAGGAGCCAAAACCAATCTGTAATTATCTGCCTAATGCGGTCGTTTGTATTCAGACAGCAACAATCTAATGCCAGCCATGAATTGTAGACGGGGCACAGTCTTCTGCTGAGCAGGCACTGTGTGCGGAGGCTCTCCCAGGGATTGAGGCTCAGCCTGTGGGAAGCTGGGTCCTATCTTTCTTTATTGTGAATGTTTTGTTTTGTTTTGGCCAAGACCTAAAATAATATGTTCAGTTTGATTACAGGAACACAAATTCCCCTCGCTGTTAGGAACAATTATTTCCAAATAAATCCATGAAACTTGGGTAAGGTGGAGGAATAAAAATAAATATTTAATTTGGGATTCGTGCTGAGCCAGCGAGGTGAAAATGACGGCACAAAATGCATCCAAAATTTGCTGCATACCCCAGAATTATGAGACAATAAAGACAATCTGTGGGGAGGATTTATAGCAACAATTAAAGAGTTTCTAAACCCCACAACAAAAATGTAATATATTGCATCTCACCAGTCCTTAGAAGTGGCAGCTTCATTCGTTTTCTTTTTTATTAGGCTTTTGTTTGGGCAGAAGGGACCTATAAAGTCTTAACTATTAACAAAAATGTATCATATACTGTATGTGTATCACACAATCCCACGTTCAGTTTGATAATTTGTATTGAGATTGTAGTCCATCCTGGGAGTGAGCTTGAAGTGGTGGCTACTTTACAACACACACAGGGACCATGGGGAACAATAGTAGCCACCCTCCAGAAGGAAGGACAGTGTTAGCAACAATTAAGGCTAGGTTTACACCTAGGCGATTTATCACGCGGATTGGGTCCCGTGATATCGCGCAAAACACAAATTCACACTGAAGTCATTGGAGTCTGTTCACACCTTTGCAGTTTGTCGCACGGACTAAATCGCCTGTCGCGCGAAAAGGTGCAGGATTGATTTTCGGGCAGTTGTTGCGCGGTTTGGGTCCCATAGATCACCGCGTGGTTTTCAAAGCGACAATCGCCCGAAAACAGCTCACATTTGTATCGCCTAGGTGTGAACCTAGCCTCAGAGATGATTTGAGGATCTACAGCTGAGTGATACACAAATAAGGTAGAATTTTGTTCATAGTTAAGGTACTTGAATGCATTTTTAAGTCTTAACTTCTGAGTTTAGAGTCACTTTAATATAGCAGCCGCTCATGTTTGTACACATGCCGCAGCTGACATGTTTGTAGGCAGTGCAGCTTGCCAAATGAGACCATTGCAATAAATGGGGCTGTGCCCCCACCGCCTAGGCAGGCTGTTGTGGTGCATTTATACAATAGAAAATCCGCACTGGAATAAAAAAGAAGAGAAAAAATGGCATTCAGGAGGTGCCTTCTGAACACTGGGCTGCTGCTGCTCTACTGTCCTTTGCAAAGCAATCCACCATAGATTGCTTTTATAGAGGCAGTGAAGGACACCGCCTGTCTGAATGAGGTCCACTCTATCCAAAATCAAGACAAAAGGCTTTGGCTTGACTTACACTTTAAGATGATTGAATGATAAAAAATGGTGACAAGGTGACATTGGGCCTCCCAAGTATTGGACTTCCAGCATATCCCACCGATGCTTGATTGGATTAAAATCTGGAGACTCTGGAGGTCAAGTCAACACTTCAAACTCATTGTTGTGTTCCTCAAACCATTCTTGAACCATTTTTGCAGTGTGGCAGGGTGCATTATCATGCTGAAAGAGGTCATTGCCATTAGGGAACGCACATATTTTTTCTTTTTTTGCTCTCCTTGGGTTCCCCAGTTGTCTTTTTCACTGCCATCGGGGAATACCATTCCCATGATGGGGTGTGCTGGATCAGTAACAATGTTTAGGTCGGTGGTACATGTCAAAGTAACATCCACATGAATGGCAGGACCCAAGGTTTCCCAGCAGAACATTGCCCAACGCATCACATTGCCTCCGCCAGGCTTGTCTTCTTCCCGAGGTAAGGGACACACATTTACCCAGCCATGCACATGTTGTATATGAAAACATAAAAAATCAGAAAATGTTTTTTACCTTTGTCAGCGGAAGACGGCGGTGGTCATACAGAACATGGAACCTTATCAGAAAATTGAATTGCTCTATTAAATATATATTGGGAATAATTCCGCACTTAGCCTGAAATGAGGTCTGGATGTTTCCAGCGGGGTTTTTCTCTCTATTTCTTTATGAACATTAAAGATAATCACTGTCTATTTACATGAAAAAAGAGAAGGACTGGGGAATGGCACATTTTATAGGCAATTATGCTACTTCCAATCATTTTAAGGGGGGGATCATTTCCACTTAACAATATCCAATTCTGGAGAGTATGTGTAATCTTCTGAAGGACATCGTCGGTTGTCTTCCGAAGTTCCTGCTGTATCTAAATAAAATACCAACTGTTTTATAGGAGTGTGTTCCATCAATTCATGTTCATGGTATTGATTCCGCCTAATCTAGAATGATTTCATTACCATTTCTATAACTTTTTAGCCCTAAGAAAGTCAAATAAAGCTCATAATTTATGATATGTACAGTATGATGCATAATACCGACTGTATGATACATGTTATTGTTATAGATTTTCTTTCCCTTTAATATATTGTGTTATCACTCAGTCAGTTTTCTGTGAGAAGGATTATTATTATTATCATCAATTTTATTATCATTATTATTGTTCAATATTTATATAGAGCCAGCAGTTTCTGCAACAGTTGTAACGTCATAATAGGAATACATACTAGAATTGTTTTTCATAATTAAATCAAAGCTTATTCAAAAAAATCCCTTTTATGCAGTGAGTGCTGCCTTCCATTTGCCCATCACTTCCAACAACTTCCGGGATTTCCAGTGTGCTTTGCGTCTCTTTCCCTGCTGCTTGATGTGACGCAATCTCCATTTCTCAAGATGCATTGCTTCCAGCAATCAAAGATAATGTTACATTGTCCAGATGTTGAGTTGTAGTTCAGAAGGCAGGCTCTGTGAGAGTGGTGACACAGGGAAGTGAAATGGTGTCAGTGCATTGAGGTAGCACATGCCACAACCACACTCTGTTTGTAAGGTAAATGCCGGAGTGAACATCCACAAAAATATCCATGTAAAATCCAAAGTAGGTACAGACAGCAAGACCTGTGAATGCTCTATACCTACTTTGGATTATATATACATACATATATACATACATTTGCCATATGACAACTCACCTCATGATGTAGGTCCTACCGTTCGGGTTGGGGTATGGAAGGCCCTGGCCTCATTGGGTTGAAAACCACTCTTCTAGAGAACCTGTACTTTTAAAGCTCATCGTCAATACCCAAGAGATTTAGCCACCCTTGAGCCTGCAGATAGCCTGTAGGTCTTCAGGGCCCCTCCCATTGCGCAAGAGACAAGCTCATATGTTCACCTTTGTCTTGGTTGTTACTTTTGTTATTCATATTGATGACAGCTCTGACCCTTTTTACAGCTTTTTATCCTCCTAGTTTAAACAAAACCAGCTTCACAAATGTCATAATACATAATTCAAGGCTCCAGAACCAGGGATGAATCTGTGCAATTGAAATACAATGTTCCAAAGCATAGCCTTGAGGATGCATTAACTCGGGTAGTGGTGGCGTCACAAGGGCATTGACAGAACATGTTGATAGAATATTTTGTTCGCCTTAACTACAACAAAGCAAAACAAATGTTGGTCCCTAAAATACACAATAAAATACTCATACAGACTTTTTTTTTAAATTTAATCTCAACTTGAGTAATTCATTTCTTTTTGTTTTAAGGAAACCTGCACTGAGAAAACGTACTATATGGCCAAATGTGACATAGACACCTGACCATCACACCTATATGAGCTTGTTGGACATGACATACCTTTCCAAAATCACTGCTATCATTATGGAGTTGGTCCCCATTATTAGCTATAACAGCCTCTTCTCTTCTACAAAAGATTTTGGAGGATGTCTGTGGGAATTTGTGCCCAATTATGAGGTCCGGTACTAATGTTGGAAGAGAAGACTTGGATCACAATCAGCAATCCATCCCAGTGGTCTTCAGTAGGGTTGAGGTCAGGTCTCTGTGCAGGACACTCGAGTTCTTTGACGCCAGACTGGTCAAACCATGTCTTTATGGAGCTGGCTTTGTGCACGGGGGCACAGTCCTGCTGGAACAAGGGCCTTCCCCAAACTGTTACAATCCATCCCAAAATTAATGAGCAGGGTTAAGGTCCGGGCTCATGCAAGCCACTTGAGTTCCTGCACACCAGACTGGTCAAACCATGTCTTTATGGAGCTGGCTTTGTGTGCAGTGGCACAGTCATGCTGGAGTTGAAGAGAGCCTTCATCAAACTGTTACCACAAGGTTTACTTTGAAGGAAAGAGGATCAAAGGTGTGTAAAATCTTACCGTTAATTTTATTTAGAAAGCAGCAACAGCCAGAGTAGAGTAGTAGCCAGCAATGCCAGCCTGCTGCAGAGAAGGACCCTTGCTGTATGTGTGGAAGCAGCGGTCTCTCTGTAGAGATCTGACACGCCCCCTGCTAAGTCAGACCACTGCAATCACCAAAGCTCATGCTCCCTGCTGATTGGAGGGTTCTGACTCTCACTCAACAGGGCATGTGTCAGACATCTGCCGAGAGACCACTGCTTCCTCACAGAGAGTAAGGGTGCTGTATGACACTTTACAATGAGCACCTCTTGTATGATTCTCTGCAAAAATCTACATGCATACATTCAAAGGATAATATATATATATATATATATATAGTGTATCTCTCTATCTACAGTATATCCTCTAAGTATATCCTATGTATATAATATAATGGTGGAGCCTTATTCTGCATCCTCAGTAAATCTTTCATTAATTTGTTCTTATCATCTGCAGACTAGCAAAGTCCACTTTGACGCTGATCCCTCTACTGGGGACACACGAGATAATTTTCGCCTTCATTACCGATGAACACGCCAAAGGATCTGTGCGCTACATCAAACTTTTGTTTGAACTTTCCTTCAGCTCATTCCAGGTAAGTTCTGATTACTGTACTATCACCATATCACCAATAGGGGGCAGTACAAGAGTGGAATGACGATGCAATAAGGACGATTTACTGTGCTGTACATAGCCTGTGCAGAGAGCAGAGCTGTGGGAGGGACTGAATTGGAGGAGCCTGTGTAGTGGACGGCCAATGAGGAGGGAGTTACAATAGTCAAGACGAGAGATAACAAGCGAGTGGATGAGTAATTTAGCGGTGTCATTGGTGAGGAAGGGGCGTATTTTGGAGATTTTGCGAAGGTGTAGGCGGCAGGATTTGGATAGTGATTGGATGTGGGGAAGAAAGGTGAGGTCCGAGTCAAGGATGACACCTAGGACCTTGGCATGGGAGGAAGTCTGGATAGTTGTGTTAACAATCTCAAGGGAAAAGTTGGAAGAAGGTGCACGGGCAGGAGGAAATATCATGAGCTCAGTTTTTGAAAGGTTGAGTTATAAGAAATGTTGTGATATCCAGAACGACATTTCAGTTAGTAGATTAGTGACACGCAAGGGGGTGAGTTGTGGAGTAGAAAGATATATTTGAGTGTCATCGGCATAGAGATGGTATTGGAAGCCATGTGAGGTTATTAATTGACCAAGGGAGGAGGTGTGGATAGAGACGAGAAGGGGTCTGAGGACAGAGCCTTGGGGTATAGACTTGACAGAACATAAGTAGATATCTACCCAAAGTGAGAAGTCCAACCATCAAAAGTGTAAACTGGAACAGCTGTCTCCATTGGAAGATTTCCCATCTATTTCTTTTCCGGTGCCAACCTTAAAAATGTGGGGTTCTCAATGAGGGTAGATCTCCTCCATGGACATCCTTCTCCTCAGTATCCAAACTAGAAAACAAGCGTGGACTGGATTTCCACTTTAAAATATCAGATTATATAACAACATTTCCATCACATAAGCCATCAGCTTCTGATTGCCGCTGAGAAGAACAATGAACATCGGCAGAGCCCCCGGCGAGTTAATGCCATCTCGAGGTGCCAAGAAAAATCATAGCATGGCCACGTCCCAGGCCGGGCATTGCTTCAGGAATTCCCATCAGTGACTGGATCTCGTTCACCATCTTCGGGGAGGGCACAATCCATCACCCATCTGACATAACATAGCGGTGTAAATCACTGCTGACGCCCACGCTATTACCCGTGGTTACCGCGTCTCCGAGTGACAAACGGCTCCTCGTTATTGAAGACATAAACAGGCAGAGAAATGCTGATTTACCGGGAGGAAATGCACAATCAGCAGAAACATCATCCAAACTGCGGGGAAGGGGGAAGGGGGAAGAAAAGAGTTTGGAGACCGACATTAAAGTGGACCTGTCATACACACAACAGCAAGCTAAGGGAAACTATAGACTTTTTAAAAAATCGATAAGCTCAGCATACAATTATGACCAGTATTCATTGAATACAAATGTGTTATCCCCTCTTTGGCAGTTTTTACTACATTTAGTGTTTTTGGCTAAAAAAGTAACTAGAAGAATGGGGTTCGACTGTCCTCCCTTGGCCTGGAGTCACACCCGTGTGTCAATGCAACACAGGGGTATGAAACCAGGCTAACCGAAGACAGCCTGGCTTTGCACTTTCGGGTGTCAAAACCCGCTTTCTAATGTGTTAACACAACAAGCAGTAGCACATGATATAAATACACCATGCCTTTGCCTTGCCTATGTTTTTCTAAGTTGAATGTAATATCAGGTCAATTCAGCATTATGGCCACTAGTTTATTTTGTTTAATAAAGTTCAATTGTAGTTTGTTGATATAATATTTTTTCCACTAGATGGAGCTGAGAAGCATAGGACAGAAATATTGAATTCCTTTTATTTCCACTAGATGGAGCTGAGAATATGCAATATGTTTCTGATTCCTTTTATCCCCACTAGATGGCGCAGAGGAACATAAGAAATAAATGCTTCTTTCCTATACTCCTCAGCGCCATCTTGTGGCCATAATGCAGTATTGCCTTGATATGACCTTCGACTTGGAAATAAAATACACTAAGAACATTCACTTTTGCCTCCATTTGAACAGAAAGAAGGAGTTTCACAGGATGAGTGGCTTTATGAATGATGTCCATCTAGTCCTGGAGATTTGCACAGCTCCACCACACAGCACAGCCCTGTCTGGCAGGGCAGGAGGCCTCCTTTTTCTCCCCTGCAGTCAAGTGATACTTACAGGTCTTGTCCCTTACACAGTCTGATGACTGATGAGCTCATCTCTCTGACCCTCCGCTCTCTCCTTCTATCAGCACACTGCTTGCACTGCAGCACAACTGATTGACTCCTTGTGCTGCTTCTCCCTCTTTCAGACTGAGCCCTGCTGTCCAGGGACTGCATGAGGCTGATCCCAAATCAGATTCAGGTCCTTACACTGCTTACACGAATAAATTTACCGACGAGCTGCTTTAATTTTTGTCTTTTCTATCTGCCTGGAATTCAGCTTTACCTTGTTACAAATGTACTTATCCCAGGTTAGGAACTCTGCTCCAGTATGTTGTGTTTGGCTGCATGGAGGGGGTTTGGGGGGGGATACATTAAAGAAAGATTGGTACATCTGTGATCTGTGCTACTCAAACCTTTGCTCTATGTGCTCACCCCCGGCTCTTCTCTTTACCGTTCCAGGGACTGATGGTTGCGGTTTTGTACTGCTTCATGAACAATGAGGTAAGATATAAGGAATCTTTGTTTGGGGACATTATTCAAACACGTTACCTGCGCTGCTGGTTGGCGGCATGACAAATCAGTGACAGTTGATCACTTCATTAGCAGTCAGTGTCATTGTACGTGATAGAGCCACATCTGCCGCATCGATCTCATTATAAACCTCGATGTTTTATTTGGCAAATGAGCGTGTACAGCGGCAGGCAATGCCGAACGATGACTCTGTATAATGAGCAACCGCGCGGGACAGATTCCGCAACTGTGATTTGTAGGGTGAAGATGCAGAAAGATTGGGCATAAAGTCATACAGAATAAAAGGGGTCCTTACCGAAGCTGTGTGCTTTCACTGCTGTATTTTCTTGCCTTAAAGGAGAACTATGGGGCCAGTGTTTTTCCCCATAGGTCTCCTAAGGGTCACAGGTCTCCTAAGGGTCACGGGACACAAATTAGCGCCCTCCCGTGACCCAAAGCTGCCTATCCCGAGGCAGAGCCAGCTGTGCCCGCCCCCTCCCCCGTCTGTTTCGCCAGTCAGCGCTGGAGGATCTGACAGTGGGGGGGGAGGGATCCCTGCAGGGAGTCGTGAGTGACAGTCACGCCTTTCTACAGGGATAGATCGAGAAGTGAGTGAGCGACGGTATGTGTTCGCTCACTTCCGGATCTACTGAGCCGACCTGTGACAGTCTCATTGTCACAGGTCGGCTCAGATTATGAGGCTGAGTGAAAATCACTCGCCTCATAATTCTCCTTTAAAGCCAATCTATATCGAAAAACAAAAATGTTACATATTGCAGCGTACCATTCTGCAGGCTTTTGTTCCCTTTATTTTCACACAGTGACCCTGCTAGTAACACACTTCCTGTCCTACACTGACAACACTGCTAGTCTATAGATATACGCTGAGTGGCCAGTTTATTATGACCACCTGACGTTTGTAGGTAAATTAGCTATAATTTGGCGCTGAAGTTGCTAGAGGGCCAGACCATTATAAATAGGGAAGCGGGTTGTTTACCACGACAGTAGAAGTGATTTGTTTCTGCAGATACGGGGAAACAACGCGATTTAACAGCCTTTGAACGTGGGATGATTGTTCGCGCTCGGAGCCATGGAGCGAGTATCAGCAAAACAGCAGAATTCGTTAAATGTTCAAGAGCAGCTGTTGTTAGTGTTTAATGACTGGACTGTCAGCCGAAAATCTGGGTCTGAACGTGCGAATTGTGGCCGTCAGCGACTAGTCAATGTTAGGGCAGAACGGAGAGTGGCAAGACTGGTACAATACAACAGAAGGGCCACAGTGCCGTGTCAGATTCCTCGCATCACCTTTCATCATCTCGTGGAGTCACGAGGCGGCCCAACGAAGTACTGATGGGGTGGTCATAATAATCTGGCCACTCAGTGTAGTACTGTGAGTGTTGTCACCATAGGACAGGAAGTGTGTATACAGTAAACTGACAGTTATCTGGCACCTATGGAGATCAATAGTTGCTGGATAACTGTAGTTTCTGGAGAGTAACTCTCAAGCAACCACCAACCCTATTCTCTCTCAGGTCATGTCCTCTGCTCAGTGGGCAGGGACAATCGCCACGTGCTATTGGCTACTGCAATTTGAAATAGCCAATAGCAGGCAGGCTATTGCTACCCATTGTTTAAAATCTCCTGCCGACTGCAGAATGTAGCCGCTGGCCCAGCAGTAAGATGTAAGCAAAAAATTTTGTACTTAATAAATTTAGTTGCTAACAATTTGTTTTTTGTGTGCATCAAGCCAAAAAAAATTGAGGATGTTTTTTGTCCTCAATTCTTTTTGCTTGAATTATTATTATTATACGGGATTTATATAGTGCCAACAGTTTGCGCAGCGCTTTACAATATAAGGAAGACATTACAATCACAATATGTTAGGATCCAGAGCGCCTCCAGGTGGCAGTGGAGCTAAGCCCTGCAGTTTCCGTACTCACCTGCAGGGGTCTCCAGGCAGCCAAGAACTGCTAGGTACCAGACCTCCACTGGGTGGTGCTGGAAACTGCAACTCCAGTGCTCACCAGCAGGCGTCTCCCAGCTGCCACCAATCATCCACCACCTGGTGCTCCCTGGGAGGGTACTTAAGCCCTCCCTGCAGTCAGGTCTGTGGCTCAGTATTGTTTCCTGTTAACCCGAGTCCTGTATCCTGCTTCTTTCCCGAGTCCTGTAACCTGTTTATGTTCCCAGCTTGTTGGCCGGAACCGTGACCTGCTTATGTTCCTGAGTCCTGTTAGTTCCTTGTACACTGACCTTTGCTCCCTGGGTTTGCTTGCCTGTTACTTTTGCATGTGGTGTGGTTTAGATGTAGTTGGTTGCTAATACTTGTTCTGTTTATTATTCTGGTTGGCATGTTAAAACGGTATATCATACATTCTGCCTTGTCCTATGTGGTCACACGTGTTTGGTCTGCCTGTGTGGGTACCTGCGCAGGTGTTGCGTCACCTGTGCCTGTATCCCTGGCACAATACAATTCAAGACAAGATGGTAAGGAGGGCCCTGCCCCTGAGGGCTTACAATCTAAAAGGGAGGGGGAAGTGATACTTGCGGATGTAGCTGTGTGGGGATGAATTGTTTGAGAATGTGATGGTTGAGTGGTTAGGTTGAGGTGGGATAGGCTTCCCTGAAGAGATGAGTCTTTAGGGAACACCTAAAGGCAGTCAAGGTGGGAGATAGATGGACAGGTTGGGGTAAAGAGTTCCAGAGGATGGGAGAGACTCTAGAGAAGTCCTGGAGGCGAGTATGGGAGGAGTTGACAAGGGAGCTGGAAAGCAGGAGGTCTTGGGATGAGCAGAGTGGGGAGATATGCCGGATAATGGGGAGTGTACTGTTTATACATATATAATACACATCTAAAAATTAACAAAAAGTCAATTGAAGTCCTTCTTCTTTTTCAGGTTCAGACTGAGTTTCAGAAAAGGTGGGAACGATGGAGACTGGAGCATGTATACAGCCAGAGAGACAGCAGCATGAAACCCATGAAATTCCCGGCAAACAGCCTGAGCAGTGGAGTCACCGTGGGCAGTAGCGTCTAACGGCATCTTTTCATGATCAGGTGGTTGGGGGCTGCAACGGTGCCACAAACTTCGGAGTCACCAAGGGAAACTCCACCAGCTGAGTAGACTATTCATTTGCACAAGAAGACAAAAAAAGGCCATTCTGTATATTTTTTGGAGACACTAATCCCAATATCATGATTCAGAAGCCAAGACAGATTTTAGACATGGAAGGCCAGGAACTTCTAAGACTGGAAAAGTCCCACCAAGTGCTGATGGCTTGAATGGGATGTTATTATAGAACATGAGAGGATAGTGTTTTGATACAAGTCTCAGGATGGATCAAAGTTAATACAAGTCTCAGGTTAATACAAGTCTCAGGATGGAGCAAAGTTAATACAAGTCTCAGGATGGAGCAAAGTTAATACAAGTCTCAGGATGGAGCAAAGTTAATACAAGTCTCAGGATGGAGCAAAGTTGATACAAGTCTCTATCATGTCAAGTTATCATGCACTGTCCATGTTCAATGAACACTGACCTTCAGTGACCAGGAGAACCACAATGAATGTATCAAGTAGACATGTTTCCACAATTATTTCTTTCTAGAACTTCAGAGTTTTGTTTCCCTTTTCCAGACTCCATCGGCAGCGTCAGGTATAAACAAAAAATTACTTTTGTCATGACATTTATCCGAGGAGAATGTGAATCTTTTTCAGACACAAATATTGGGGCTAATCATTCCAGGACCACAACTCACAAAACTGAACAAAGAGCTAAAGAGGACCATGGCCACCTATGAATGTGGATGATTTTTTTTTGGTTATTGATAATGTTGAAACTCATTTCTGTATATGGATGTGTTAAAAAACCCCCACAGGAATAGAATGTATTTTCTAGGTTGTATATAATGCAGTTGTCATAAAAGATATGGATTATGGTCATCAGATGGCAATCAGACAGAGACATGGTTGATAAGTACATACATTAAAAGCAGCTGAGGAATGGTTGCCATTTTTTGTTTACTGTCCAATGTTTATGTGGCTGCATATTACTAACAGTCATACACAAGTGGAAAATTAAGACTTATTTCAGGCAAAGTTGTAGCTGAGTAGGTCAGAAGTGGTAAAGGGTTCTACCATGATACAGCAAGAGCATACCCAACTTGTCTGCCTGTCTCTTCCTCTTCTAAATGTCTCTGCTCCCCTGCTCTAAGGCTCTTCTTTCCCACCACCCTCCTCTATCTCAGCCCCCTGCTCTGTTCCTGTCCTTTTCTCTCACCTCTGATGCACCACAATTTGGTCCCACGTGTTGCATTCTGGTTCCTGATCTTCTCATTGCTCATCTACAATATGTTTCTATCCCAAAGGCCACTTATCTCTTCACCTTCAAGACTCCTCTGCTTTTCACCACATATGCCTCGGCTTATCCGATCTTCATAACACAAACCCGCTGTCTTCTTCTGATCTCCATGATCTTTAAAGCTGGCCATACACATGCACAAGGACTGAACCAGAGACGTCTGCTTGATTGTCTCATCCCGTGCCAGCTATTGTAGTCAAGCAGCTGTGGAAGGTGGCAGTACTGCAGTCATTTTTCGGCTAACAATTTTCTGACCAGTTCATACGGTTTTCAATCGAAATTTATTAAGCTGTGTCGGACCTATCTCCTACTTCAAGTTTTTATTACATGTTCCCACTGTCTGGCTACCCCCTTACACCAGCAAGTTCTCATCCCTCCAACACCAGAATTTCCCATGCCTCTGATTCCTTCATATCTTATCCTTCTATCATTAACTTCCGTTCCCTTAAACTGCACTTATAATCCCTCTATCCCAATTTACTAATAACCTCAATCCCCTTTATCCCTTTCCCCCAAAATCACATTCCACGCCCCACCATAAACTTACAACCTTTACCATTAGCACCCATGCCTCTATCTCATAAACATCAGCTATAATCCCTACCACAGCTCTAACCTGAGATCCAATGCTCCCCCACCATCAGCTCCCATCTCCACTGCCCCTTTAACATGCGCTCCAGTCCTCTCCGACCACCAGTTCCCATCTTTCCTACCGTTACCATCATTTACTATGCCTACCACCCCTCTACCATGAGCTACAATCCTTCCTCACCATCAGCTCCCATCCCTCCTACCACTTTACCGTCAGTTACCATCCCTACAACTCCTCTACCATAGGCTACAATCCTTCACCATCGACTCCCATCCCTCCTACCACTTCACCATCAGCTACCATCCGAACAAACCTCTCTACCATGAGCTACAATCCTTCCTCACCATCAGCTCCCATCACACCTACCTCTTCACCATCAGTTACCATCCCTACAACCCTTCTACCATGAGATACAATCCTCCCTCACCATCGGCTCCCATCACTCCTACCTCTTCACCATTAGTTACCATCCCTACAACCCTTCTACCATGAGCTACAATCCTCCCTCGCCATCGGCTCCCATCACTCCTACCTCTTCACCATTAGTTACCATCCCTACAACCCTTCTACCATGAGCTACAATCCTCCCTCACCATCAGCTCCCATCACTCCTACCTTTTCACCATCAGTTACTATCCCTACAACCCTTCTACCATGAGCTACAATCCTCCCTCACCATCAGCTCCCATCCCTCCTCGGATAGTGTGAGAAATGGAAAAAACCGAATCACTGGGTAGACTTCTGTTGCTTCCTGTCCTGACAACACACTACAGAGGGTGATGTATAATTAATTTGCTCTGTCATATGCTGGGCAAATGCAGTTTACACCTAATTCCCACCACTAGATGGAGCCAAGGAGCATAGGAAATTCCCTCTGCATCAGGGTATGATAGGGTGTCACTGGAAGAGGAAGTTGAGTACGTGATTCAATCCAGTGTTGCTCACAAGGGCCCCTATAGCACTATAATCTGCATTTCCCTCGTCTTTCTCAGTAGAAATCCAAAGAGCAGAAAACAGCTCTGTCTATTGTTAATGAGCTGTCCTGAATGTCAGCAGTGATACATGTTTATCGAAGCTTCATTTGTTCTCTCGATGCCGCACGGCGGATCAAACCAGCGAGCTTTCTATTACTTTATAATGTTTTCTTTCAGGACTTGTCAGCTTTGATTTCTGTTATTTGTCTCCAGCCAGTGCTGTTAGTGACCGACCGTGTCTAAGCCGAGGTAAAGTCTTTGATGACAGTGTATCTAAAACCAAAACCTTTCTTTTACTTTTGAATAATGTAATGAAGGGTCAGAACCTCTGACAGGTTTTTAAATGCTGTCTGGGGAGGTTCACCCTTCTGTAGGTCCTGCTCACTATTTTCACAGGGATTGATAGTGAGAGAAAACCCCAAATTTGCCAGAAGTGGAGGGGAAATCTTCTAATGGGGACGCCTGTTCCAGTGACAATTGTCTAAAAGGAAATGTGCATTACATTGGCGGCGGGGGGGGGGGTGAGTGTGCTGAATCTCAGGTAAATATAAAAGGCACAAATAAGGCAGCTCTGTCATTATTAGATCATTAAAGAAGTGTAAGTACCTGAATGTGACCTGGTTTCAGCCTCTTGCAGTCCCTATACAACAGCGCTGGAGTGTGAGAGGAGAATCATGTGCTTACCAAATGGAAGGCCAGCTCTCCCTTCTCTCTGGGATTGAGAACACTTCATCAGTGGTCATATGGTACTGCCCAGTTGTATTGGGCCCCAGGCCCCTGGTTAAAACTAGCAAACACTCACTTTAACACAGGTTCAGTCTCTAGGGCCGAGCTTCATCCCCAAGGACAACCTCCGCAGGCCATAGGTTGGCTTTCTCTGACTCCCTCTACACATATCTCAGGGATCCCTCATCCCATAATGCCAGGCATAACCTGACTGTAGTCTTCAGCACTCATTTACCCCTTCCCTGGATGGTGCAGATCCCAAGCTTCCAAGCTCTCACTCTATGACCGGACCCACAATGGTGCTGATCACCTTCTCTTCCTCATCCCAGAACAAAATGTAGAAGATTAATTTTGGTTCAAATAAGTAAAACTCAAACTTTTCTCCAAATGATTGCAAAGAAACACAAGTGTGATGCTATTTTGAACACTTTATAGTCGGGATGCACCGATACTGTTTTTTCGGTATCGAGTACGAGTACTGATATTTTTTTTTCGGTACTCGCCGATTCTGAATACTGATACCGGAAATCCCATCAAAGAAGTCGGGCGGCGTGTAATGGCTCACCGCCCAGCTTCCTGACTGGCCAACCACCAGGTGACAAGGAAGCATGGAGCTGGCTTTCTGGCCAATCAGGAAGCAGGTAATTAAAGGGGTACCCTGATGTGAATAACCCCCCCTGCCCGCACCCCCACAACCAACACCCCAGGGCTTGTTGGAAAGAGGCCCTTGTCCCCATCGGCATGGGGACAAGGTGCTTTTCCAGGGTCAACCTGGAAAAGCACCCTCCCAGTGCCGAGGGCATGTGGCCTGGTATGGCGAGGGGGGCGCTCGCTCGACCCGCCCCCCTTTTCTGCCCTGCCAGGCCTGTGCTTGGATCAAGGGTCTGGTTGGGAATTTTAGAGGGGACACCACGTCTTTTCCCCCACCATTTTTAGGGGTGGAGTTCCTCCTTAAAATTCCTACCACACCTTAAGGGCCTGGTATGACCGTGACCTTATACAGTAAATGTCACCTTTTGCTGCAGCAGGTTCTATACATCGTGCAGATGCGTCACTTTACAGGCAGTTTAAGGGGATCCCCCAGGCACAATATTTAAAGGAATTTTTCATTTGTATTGTTTCACTTTTAGCAATGTTAAAATCACTGCTCCTTTAAAAACTGTATTTTTTAAAAGTGTTTTTTTCATTGATACATGTCCCCCAGGGCAGTAACCGAATCCCCATACACCTTTTATGGCCGACAACTTGCATATAAGCCTTCAAAATTAGGACATTTGATTTTCAGAGTTCCTGTCCCACATACTTTCATTGAGTTTGAAGGTCGAGTTGGAATTTTTTCCATGTTCTAAAGTTCGAACTCGGATATGTTTGGCCCATCACTAGCCGTC